ATTCATACATAGCAATAGCAGTTAGACATGAATGCCTTAACCTTTTTCTCATCGCAGTTGAGAGTTACAAGGTCGCTGCATAACGAATTAATCCTAAAAATCAAAGTTAGATCAGTGGTTTCTTGAATTTTGCCGCATCACTGAAGAAGATCCATCTTTTCTTGGATGACTGCATCTCTTTCCACAAATAATGAATCTAAGTCTTGAATTTGATTCAAAGGCTGGAGAATAAGTAGCCCCTTATTAAATAAAAAAGCTACTATAAGTAGCTTTTTAACTCTGGTCCCAAAAGTCTTCTTCTCTTCAACAAAGTCAGCCTTTGGGGATACGTGGGGCGCCTTTGTTGCTTAAAAGTGTTGGTGTTTTTTTAACATCCTGGGCGCCCAAGAACCGGGTCCCTGCAGAGAGAAGCGGCATCGGAACCGGAAAGCCTTCTCTTCGCTTCCGGTTCCTGCGCGCCTCCAGCCAGACGGCGCCCGAAGCCGCCGTCGAATCTCCGTGCTGCATCCCAGAGCGTCCGCGCCTGACCCCTAGTGGCGGCCGCCGGGAACTAGCGTGGCTGCGCCGGATACTGGAGGGCAGGTATTTAGGTTTTTAAACAATTCTGCCTATGCGGCGTTTCTTCTTTGAAAGTTTTAATACCAGCAGAAGGAAACTTGGCTTTCCTCTTGGCTTAAGGAATGCTTCTTTGCGTCTTTTCTTTTTTCTTTTGTGTGCAACTTTTTTATGTATTCTTCTGTTAAGCCCTTTGTTCCAAAGCTAACTTTGATATAAGGCGCATTGAATACTTAAGATAAAAATTTGAAACGAATAATTTCTGAGCCAGACATGTACCTGGAGGCTTACATATCAGGGATTTGCAAGTTATTCTTACTGAAGTGTCTTAAAATGCTTGTTTTGAGCTAAAAGGTATAATAAATCTAAACCAACATTTACAACGTTCAAGAGTTTTAAAAGGTAATTCACACATTAAATACAAACTATATTAACAGTGGCGTTATTTTCTTTGCCTCTGTAACATTTCCCTGTTAGTTTTTGTTTTTTACATTTTATTATGCATTTTTAAAACCACATTTTGATGT